TAGGTACTCACTTTGGAAAAGCTGAATGGGCCTGAGGTTATACGACCTCACGCAGGCCCTGGCAGGCTCTACCAGGCCCCGAGGTTGAGGGGAATGTCCCAGCCTGCAGTTTGGGAACTGTCACTCTGGGAACTGCTTCCAAGATGGGGACTCCACCCACCCAGTGCCAAGCGCTCTCTCACTCTGTTAGTTGTCCACTGCTGCAAAAACAATTTTCACAAACTCAGCAGCTTAAAGCAGCATACGTTTGTTACCCCACAGTTCTGCAGGTCACACAACCAGGCCAGGCCAGCTGGGACCTCCACTTGGGGTCAGACAAAGCTGCAACTGTATGTCATCAGGCTGAGTTCTCATCTGAAGGCTCTGGGGAAAACCGGTTTCCAAACTCATTCAGATTCATGGCATAATCCAGTTCCCTGCAATTGCAGGACTGAGAACCCTGTGTGCTTCCTGGCTGTGAGCAGGAGCCACCCCCAGGGGCCACCTGAAACCTCAAGGGAGGCACAGCATATCACATTTTTCTCACGTGTCTAATCTAAGCCTGTGTTCTCCAACCAGATGGAGGAACCTCTGCTTCCCAGGGCTTGTGTGGTTAGGTCAGGCTCACCCAGATGCCCTCCCTTTTCACCTCACTAACTTGGGACTTACGGACATCTGCAAGTCTCTTCACTGCAGTACCAGCTGAATGTCTGAATGAACTGGAAGAAGGGGTGTGTACATTAGGGGCCAGGAATCTAAGAGGCCATCTCGGAAATCTGCCCTCCACACCCAGGCCAGGTAACAGGAATCCAAAACTCCTGCCACTGTTTAAGGCACCGTGACGCGCACCCATGTAAGAGGCTGAACTGATCAATGTGTGTATTCTACATCCACTACTGACCAGCTGTTCCTGTCTCTCTCCCTTTCCTCGGGCCTCCCTCTTCCCTGGACACAGTATCGAGATTAGGCTAATTAGTCACCTTATCACAGCTTCCAAGTGCTCACATGAAAGGTGGAATCCCACGTCTCTCACTTTAAACCAAAAACTAGAGATTAAGCTCAGTGAGGAAGAGATCTCTAAAACCCAGTCAGAAAGCCGGGCCTCCTGCACCAGTCAAAGAGGAATGCAAAGGAAAAGCCACCAAGGAAGTTAGAGGAGCTGCTCGAGCGAAGACACAAATGACAAGATAGTAAGACAGCCTATCGCTGACGTGGAAGAAGTCTGAGTGGTTGAAGACTAAAACAACTTTCCCTGACGGGTGGTGTGACTGACAACCAAAGCTGAATCCACAGCATCGAGGTCCTAATCATCCTCAACTCTACGAAAGCCAAGACAGGTGAGGGAAGCTGCGGAAGAAAAGCAGAGACTGGTTCTGAGGTATAAGGAAAGAGCCGCTTCCACACATAAAAGTGCAAGGTGAAGCCGCAAAAGCTGCGGGAGAAACTGCAGCAAGCTCTCCAGATGTAGCTAAGATTGTTGACTGAGGTGGCTACACTAAGAAGACTTGCAACGTGGATGAAACAGCTTTCTACTGGAAGAAGATGGCATCTAGGACTGTGGTAGCTAGACAGAAGTCAGTATCTGGCTTCAAAGACTGAAAGGACTGACTGACTCTGGTTAGGGGCTAATACAGCTGGTGACGTGAAACAGCTCATTTCCCACTCCAAAAATCCTAGGACCCTGATGAATGATGCTACATCTACTCTGTGTTACAGAAATGGAACGACAAAGCCTGGATGATGGCACATCTGTTTACAGCATGGTTTACTGAGTATTTTAGGCCCACCGATGAGACCTACTGCTCAGAAAAAAAGACTCCATTCAAAACACTACTCGTTGACAATGCTCCTGGTCACCTGAGAGCTCTGATGGAGACGTACAGGGAGACTGATGTTCTTCCTATGCCAACACAATATGCATTTTGCAGCCCATGGGTTGGGAGTTATTCTGACTTCCAAGTCTTATTATTTAAGAAATATGTTTCACAAGGCGGTAGTTCCATAGATAATGATTCCTCTGACGATTCTGGGCAAAGTCAGCTGAAAACCTTCTGGAAAGGAGTCATCCTTATAGATGCCATGAAGTACATTCATGATTCATGGGAGGTTGTCAAAATATGGACATTTGATATTTTGGAAAAACTCGATTCTGGCCCTCATGGATCTCTGAGGTGTTTGAGACTTTAGTGGAGGAAGCAACTGCAGATGTGGTGAAAACATCAAGGGAACTGGATTTAGAAGTGTAGCCTAAAGATGTGACTGAACTTTCAGCTTCAATCTCACGATCAAACTTGAATGGATTCGGGGTTTCTACCTTTTTTTTTTTTTTTTTTTTTTTTTGATATGGAGTTTCATTCTTGTTCCCCACGCTGGAGTACAGTGGCACAATCTCGGCTCACTGCAACCTCTGCCTCCTGGGTTCAAATGATTCTCCTACCTCAGCCTCCTGAGTAGTACAAGCACCCTCTACCACACCCGGCTAATTTTTGTATTTTTTTTAGTAGAGATGGGGGTTTTGCTAGGTTGGCCAGGCTGGTCTCAAACTCGTGACCTGAGATGATCCACCCACCTTAGCCTCCCAAAGTGCTGGGATTACAGGCATGAACCACTGTGCCTGGCTGAGGTGTTGCTTCTAAGAGATAAGCAAAGCAAGTGGTTTCTAGAGATGGAATCTGCTCCTGATGAAGATGCTGTGAACATTGTTGAAATGACAACAAAAGATTCTGAAGATTCCATAAACTTGGTTAATAAAACACAGGCAGGGTTTGAGAGGCTTGACTCCAATTTTGAAAGAGGTTCTACTGTGGATAAAATACTAGCAAACAGCTTTGCATGCTACAGAGAAATCTGTTGTGAAAGCAAGATTCCATCGATGGAGCTAACTTGACTGTCCCATTTTAAGAAACTACCAGTCACACCAAACTTCAGCAACCACCACCCTGCTCTTCCAGCAGCCAGCAAGGGGCAAGGGCCTCCACCAGAAAAATGATTACAACTTGCTTAAGGTTCAGATGATCATTTTTTTTAGTAATAAAGTATCTTTAAATTAAGGTATTTACATTTTTTTTTAGATAGAATGCTACTGGGTACTTAATACTGACCACAGTATAGCTTAAACAGAACTTTTATATACACTGGGAAACAAAAACACCCCTTCGACTTGGTTTATCGTGCTATTCACTTTGTGTAGTGGTCTGGACCCAAGCCTGCAATATCTCCCAGGTGTGCCTGCATGTCCCATGTGTGGGGTGAAAGGCCCAGGGGTGGCTGCTGTGGCTCCCCAGCATTCCTGTTTCCTTCTTCCTTTTAGTGTTAGAAACCCCATCAAATTACTAATGAATGCCCCACAAATGATTTCCTAGTGTCCCCTCAAGTTAGGTGACTGTGACAAGATGAGAGGAGAAGGGAAGTGATGCGTGCATGCCGTCCACTTTCCTCTCCCCACAGTGCTGAAGAGGCAGGGCAGCCAGAGTCCCTGGAGGCCACCCCCCACCTTTGAGAGAATAAGAGAACTCAAGTTTCTTATTTGAAACATGGTATTCTGAATCTGTTACAGCAATGTTAACCTACGTTTTAAATAATACTAATATACAACCCAAATATTCAGATTCAATTCTCATGATGATAAAGAAATTCAAACTGGGCCAGGTGTGGTGGTTCCTGTTGTAACACATAAACATCACCCGTAAAAAAAAAAAAAATCACCACCTGAGGCAGCGGGCAGTGGCTCACACCTGTAATCCCAGCATTTGGGAAAAGGAGGCGGGTGGATGATGAGGTCAGGAGTTTGAGACCAGCCTGGCCAATACAGTGAAACCCATCTCTACTAAAAACACAAAAATTAGCTGGGCGTGGTGATGCACACCTGTAGTCCCAGCTACTCGGGAGGCTGAGGCAGAAGAATTTCTTGAACTGGGGAGGTAGAGGTTGCAGTGAGCCAAGATCGATACTCCAGCCTGGGCGACAGAGCAAGACCCCTTCTCAAAACAAAAACCAACAAACAAAATCACCTGAAATTGTTTCAACTGCACCTGTTGTGTATCATCAGCAGCCACAGTAGTGGCTCTGGGGTGTCTAGGGGTGTCCCATCCGGCACTAGAAGCTCCCAGTTCTTAACCCACACTGTTAAGGGGATATTGCAGCCTCGAGCTCCCAGCCAGAGTCACTGTGTGTCCCTTACAGCCGAAAGAAATAAACAGGAGGATACACCAAGCTTCACCCTCAGGAATAACAGAAAAAGCAGAGCCAGAGGGCAACCGAGTGGGACATGGACCAGAGACCCACCACCATCTGGCCTCCTTGCCCCGCGCCATCACCAAGGGGCCTGCTGTGCGCCAGACGCTAGGAAGGGAGGGCTTGTCTTCCTAGTGCTCCCCACGATGCCCTGGAGGTTCAGGGAACTAACAAGCTTAAGGTCAGAGAACTGGAGCCAGCTGCCAGCTGCCTCTGCCCCACCCAGGCCATTTGGCTTCTGCCCCCAGCATGCTGCTAAGGGCTCTGCCCAAGGACAACGAGCGCGGTGTCCTCTGCCGGGCCATCTTCCACGACCGTGAGGCAGCGCCCACAAGCTCGGCAGCTCCCTGAGCTGCTTCACACCAACTTCCCCAGTCTGAGGCCCGCAACCAGGTGCTGCTCAGACCTGGAGGGTCCCTGGACCATGATGTAGCCTGTGTTCGAAGGGGGCAAGACAGCCTTGACATCAGCAAGGAGAACGCCACTGAGATTCTTAAAGACTTGAAGGGGAAAGGGAACCTTCCGGGAAAAGCAGGACCGCGCAGCCACACCACCTCTTCCCATCTGGGAATTCTCCTCCAGGCCCAAGCCTGGAACTTAACTCTCATTCTGCCCATCACGTTTCCCTCCCCACTCCTACCCCCAACAGCACAGAAGATGCCGGCGCTGCATCTCCTCCAGCACCGAGAGGCCTCGAGGCCCCCGGGAGCAGAGGCAAGGTTCAGGCACCGCCGCAGGGACGCCCACACCCAGTCCTGTGACACCCTCAAACTGTCTGCGGCACCCACCCTCACGCAGGCCTGGCGGGCCTGAAGACTGCCACTCGGAAACTCAAGCCCGCGGCTCCAAGGCCTGGACTCAGGGCGGGGTGACGGGGATCGAACCAGGGGTACCCACACGGCGCTGCGCAGGGAGAACACCCCAGGCTCGGGCCCGAGGGTGCTCGCTGGAGAGACGCTGCAGCCTCGCGGGGGCGGCCATGGCTGCGTCGGGGAATCCGGCTGGCCAAGGCCCGGCTCCTGACGCCCTTGCGGGGCGGGCCGCGGCCTGCGGACCCCGCCCGGCCCCTGAGCCAGCCGGGGCTGCGGCTAGAGCGCTGCCCGCCCCCGACCGGAACGCGCCACTCACCCGGCGCGGGCGGGGAGAGGGCGGCGCGAGCCCGACCCCGCAGCCGCTAACGGGACCTCGCGGGCGCAGGCCCCGCAGACCCGCCGACAAAGCCCGCACCGCCGCCAGCCCGCCGCGGCCGGAAGTCGCTCTAGGCCCCACCTGGGCAACTTCCGGCGCCGCTCTAGAAGCGGCAGGGATCGGCTCCCCTCTCGGTAGTGCGGACATCCGGGCGGGGGCGGTGAAGGCTCCCGGAAGGGTGCGGGGCGTCCGGGCGGCGCGCCCTCGCTCTGCGAGTGAGAGGAACGCGGGCTCCGAAACTCCGGTGTGGCGAAGCCCGGCTGCAGCCCAGCGCCAGCCCCTCAGGAGGCGGGGACCCGGGAGAAGTAAATACCGTGAGGGCCAAACTTCGCCGCCTTTTGCGCCCCAGAGACGTGGGGAAGCGGCGCGCTGTGGGTTTTTTTAGGTTTTCCGTTTTTTTTTTTTTTTAAGACGGTCTTGCTCGGTTGCCCCGGCTGCAGTGCGTGGCGCGATCTCGGCTCACTGCAGCCTAGACCTCCCGGGCTCAGGTGGTCCTGTCTCGGCCTCCGGAAGTGCTGGGACCGCAGGCGGCGCCATCGCTCGGCTCGCTGATTCTTGGTAGACATTACTCGTTGCTAGAATGAGTCACAGTCCGAAATAATTACATTACCCTGCCCCCCCCAAAAAAAAACATATTCGTATTTTGGATTTTCTTTTTCCAATTTTCTGCTAGCACTGAGGAAACTTCTTTATCTAGATAGATGGGATTGCGAGGAATTGTTTTTAGCAATGACGCTCAATTTCTTTAGCTTATTTATATGCAAAAAATACACAGCAGTTATCACCAAGTGTACTTGATGACCTCTCAGTTGACCACTCGAATAGGTCCTCTGTACATTTTGATGGAAGCAGGGCCCGGCGCGGTGGCTCACGCCTGTAATCCCAGCACTTTGGGAGGCCGAGGCAGGCGGATCACCTGAGGTCGGAGTTTGAGACCAGCCTGGCCAACATGGAGAAACCCTGTCTCTACTGAAAAAAATAAAAAATCTAGCCGGGCGTGGTGGCACATGCCTGTAATCCCAGCTAATCGGGAGACTGAGGCAGAAGAATCGTTTGAACCCGGGAGGCAGAGGTTGCCGTGACCCGAGATCTCGCCGTTGCACTCCAGCCTGGGCAACAGAGGGAGACTCTGTCTCAAAAAATAAATAATAGATAAATAAATAAATAAGGCCAGGCACAGTGGATCGCACCTGTAATCCCAGCACTTTGGGAGGCCGAGGCGGGCGGATCATCTGAGATCGGAGTTGGAGACCATCCTGACCTACATGGAGAAATCCGGTCTCTACTAAAAAAGAAAAAAAAAAGTCAAGTGTGGTGGCACATGCCTGTAATCCCAGCTACTCAGGAGGCTGAAGCAGGAGAATTGTTTGAACCTGAGAGGCAGAGGTTGTGGGAAGCCAAGATCAAGCTATTGCACTGCAGCCTGGGCAACAAGAGTGAAATTTTGTCTCAAAGAAACAAAACAAAAATCTGATGGAAGGAAACAAAGAATTAGAAGTAACCTAAAGTGCAAAACTACATTAGGTCTTTCCCAGCCAATAAATTCACCTACTTTCTTAAAATCCACTGCAGAGTTTTGAATTATCCTTTGGTAAGGAGGACAGCCCAGGTACCAGGGTGAACAAAGGAAGAGAAGCAAGGCGGAAGAAGGAGCAATGGCCAAGGGGGACACGCTAGGCGTGTGCCCTCAGCCAAGGGCCTTCTCTGAGAATTCCAGGGCAGAGTTTGTGGAAGTCCTGCTGTGATTCTCCAGGGGCTTCCCAACTTTTGGAAAGGTTTCTGCGTTCCAGGGGTGTGTGTGAAAGCCCTGCATTGAGCGACCCCACCTTTCATCCAGACCCAGAGACCTCGGCTGCTGCAACCCTATTGCCAGCTTACCCTCACGGGGTCTGGCTTTTAAGGTGAGAAGGGCTTACAGACCTTTCAGCCTGTCTTTCCCTGGACCCAAAGAGCTTGAGAGCACACCTGAGCAGGTTGTCACAGATCACATCTCCTGCCTTGTATGCCTGACAACTGCCACTTCAACCCCAACGACAGCTAACACGTGTATGCATCTTGGCACTTAATACTTTGAGTTTACTTGTCTGGTGTTGATTGTCCCTGCCAGTAGAAAGAAAGCTCCGTGAGGTCAGGGACCCCATCTCATTCCATGTCTAGCCCAGTGCCTGGCCCATGTGGTCCTCAGCAACTGAGGCAGATGCTGTGATAACAGGCCCAGGGAGATCCTTCCAGTGACGGGCTTGGTGTCCCACTTGCTGGGGATGTGGTAGGCAGTCTTCAGCCATTGGCCGCAACTCGCCAGGGTCACACTCTTCCCTGGGACAGCCCACATTGCAAAGTCTCAGCCATCTTGGTCCAACTGAGGACAGCCCTGAGGGCCACTTCTGTTACAAGCTCCCTGTCCTTGGTGGCTTGGTGGCGTCACAACCCCTCCTGCAGCTGTGTCTTCCCCCACAGGTCCAACACCACTCCACAGGACATCTGCTACCCACTTAGGAACCCCCTTCGGCCACAGCAGCCTTGTCAGATGACTTATAATCTCCATTTTACAGATGAGGAAACTGAGGAATAGGGAAGCTGAGTGGCTCACGTAACACATCAGCCAGGACGTGCTGGAGGGAGGCTCATATGTGGCCATCTGTCTCCAAAGCCCTTGACCTACAGCAAGTACAAAGCCAAAACCAGGGGGCGTGGCTGGAAGGCAGAAGGCCCAAGGGAAAGCTGCCATGCAGGATGAGGCTGGCACTGTTGCCATAACTAGAGCTCAAAAAGGAAATCTGTCCAAAGAAACTGCGTTCAGCCAGAAAGAGATTTTGTAGGGATTTGAGGGGACGGAGCCATTCTGAAGACAAAGAGCAAAAATTACAATAAAAGATCCCAAAACACAGTTTCAAGCTATCTGGTGTGTGGGGTTTAGGAGAATGCCATGGGTGGTCTTGGTGTGGGAGCAAGCCCAAAACTGTCTGGAAAATGGCCCCGAGGAAGGGTGGAGCCATTATGTGGGCGGGGGTGGGGGGGGGGGCCGTGAGCAGAGCTTTCCTTCTTTGGGTGAATGGGGTCTGGGGACAAGTTGATAAGAATGGAGGACTGAAGACACTTGTGAAGGACAGTCTTTCTGAAATAACTGGGTGGGGCAGATTGTGTGGTCCTGGTCCCAGCCACGTGAGAAGCCCATGCAGGCTTCTGAGCAGGAGTGTGACGAAACCCAAATCACACTGGAAAGACATGTTGGCTGCGTGGTGACCGTAGCCATCAGCTGCAGCTCACCAGGGTCACACCCTCCCCTGACAGCCCACATTGCCAAGTCCTGGATCTGTTGGTCGGTCTTGTTTACACTGTTCCTGCTGGCTGTTTTAAAAGCATAAAGCTATCGGTTTCATGGTATTTTCTGATACTTGTTTCATTCGTCTGTGAGCTTTTATCTTTGGATTTGAGCCTTTAGGCTTTGAGGGCTAAACAAATGGCGTAGTGAGGCCTGGAAACGGTGTGGAGGGAGGGGTTGGACCCTTCAGGCTTTGGATCCTCTAACAGCTGTACTTTGGGCCGTGCATCTAGCACGTAATTAAGATTGCTTATTTCCTGTGGTTTTTACTGAAAATTGGGGTTACTAAGAGGTAGCATTATAATTAATATATGTAATCAAAACTACTAGGTATAAGAGAAACAATTTTAGGGCACTGTGGCTCACGCCTGTAATCCTAGCATTTTGGGAAGCCAAGGCCGGCGGATCACCTGAGCTCAGGAGTTCGAGACCAGTCTGGGCAACATGACAAAACCCCGTCTCTACTAAAAATACAAAAATACTACCTGGGCGTGGTGGCACATGCCTGTAATCCCAGCTACTTGGGAGGCTGAGGCACGAAAATTGCTCCAACTCGGGAGGCAGAGGTTGCCGTGAGCCAGTGTTCATGCCACTGCACTCCAGCCTGGGCAACAGAATGAGACACTGTCTCAAAAATAAAAAAGAAAAACAAAAACAATTTTATATACAGTGTGTAAAGAAAGCATACTTTCTCCTCTTTTTTTTTTTGAGATGGAGTCTCACTGTTACCTACGTTGGAGTGCAGTGGCAGTCTCGGCTCACTGCAACCTCCGCCTCCCAGGTTCAAGCGATTCTCCTGCCTCAGTCTCCCAAGTACCTGGGACTACAGGCACCTGCCACCACACTCAGCTAATTTTCTATATTTTTGGTAGAGATGGGGTTTCAACATGTTGCCCAATCTGGTCTCAAACTTCTGACCTCGTGATCCACCCACCTCAGCCTCCCAAAGCGCTGGGATTGCAGGCGTGAGCCATCACGCCTGGCCATTTTTTTTCTTTTACCTAAGAGAGAACTTTGTGTGGTCAAAATGGTAAGAGGGGAAGGAAAACAAGTTTTTGTCCTAACATAGAACGCCAACATAAAAAGGAAGTGTAGGCCCAAACTGAAGCAGTAGTGAGTTGTACAGGTTTGTGGAAGATTAATCTTGTGAAGAATTTTCTGGCTGGGCTCAGTGGCTCACACCTGTAATCCCAGCACTTTGGGAGGCCCAGGTGGGAGGACTGCTTGAGCTCAGGACTTCAAGGTGAGCCTGGGCAAAATAGCAAGACCTCATCTCTACTAAAAATCAAAAGAATTGCCAGGCGTGGTAGCTCAAGCCTGTAATCCCAGCACTTTGGGAGGCCGAGGCGGGTGGACCACAAGGTCAAGAGATCGAGACCATTCTGGTCAAAATGGTGAAACCCCGTCTCTACTAAAGATACAAAAAATTAGCTGGTCATGGTGACATGTGCCTGTAATCCCAGCTACTCAGGAGGCTGAGGCAGGAGAATTGTCTGAACCCAGGAGGCGGAGGTTGCAGTGAGCAGAGATCACACCATTGCACTCCAGTCTGGGTAACAAAAGCGAAACTCCGTCTCAAAAAAGAAAAAAAAATCAAAAGAATTAGCCAGCTACGGTGGCACATGCCAGTGGTCCTAGCTACTCAGAATGCTGAGGCAGTAGGATTGCTTGAGCCCAAGATTTCAAGGCTGCAGTGAGCCACATTCATGCCTCTGCACTCCAGCCTGGGCAACAGAGTGAGACCTCTTCTCAAAAAAAAAGAAAAACATTGTATGGCAACAAGTTGGCTAAAATGAGAAGGGGATTATTTGAGCATTAATATAAAGTCACAGGGATGCAGAGCCAGAATGTGGGCCCCTGTGTTGGAATAACAGAGTTTTCCTGGAGCAGTGATCTGCTCTTCAATAGAAAGTTGTAAATGATCGACCAGGCGAGGGGCTCAAGCCTGTAATCCCAGCACTTTGGGAGGCCAAGGCGGGCGGAACACAAGGTCAGGAGACTGAGACCATCCTGGCCAACATGGTGAAATCCATTTCTACTAAAATACAAAAAAAAAAAAAAAATTAGCCAGACATGGTGGTGCACGTGCCTGTAGTCCCAGCTACTTGGGAGGCTGAGGCAGGGGAATTGCTGGAACCTGGGAGGTGGGGGTTACAGTGAGCCGAAGTTGTGCCACTGCACTCCAGCCTGGCAACAGCGCGAGACTCAATCTCAGGAAAGAAAGAGAGAGAGAGAGAGAAGAAAAAAAACGTTGTAAAAGGTTATACAAAGTTTCAGGAAATCTTATCTCTGTGGTAAAAATTGAGCTTGGACAGATAGGCTTATGAAGTTGTATTAAATCAACCTTAGGGGCAGGCATGGTGGCTCATGCAGGCAGTCCCGGAGCTTTGGGAGGCTGAGGTGGGCACATTGCCTGAGGTCAGGAGTTCAAGAGCAGACTGGCCAACAAGGTGAAACCCTGTCTCTACTAAAAATACAAAAATTAGCCAGGCATTGAGTTGGGCACATGGAATCCCAGGTACTCAGGAGGCTGAGGCAGGAGAATCACTTGAACCCAGGAGGTGGAAATTGCAGTGAGCCGAGGTCGTGCCACTGCATTCCAGGTTGGGCGACAGAGTAAGACTCTGTCTCAAAAAAAAATTAACTTTAGTAGTAGTATACTGATGCAAAGATAAAATTTGGTTTTCTCTTTAGAGAAAGATTATTAGAAGTATCAATAAGAGATCATTAAAAATGACTTACCTTTGGAGTTAAAAAAAAAGAGGGGCTGGGCACAGTGGCTCATGCCTGTAATTCCAGCACTTTGGGAGGCCAAGGCAAGCAGATCACTCAAGGTCAGGAGTTTGAGACCAGCCTGGCTGACATAGTGAAACCCTGTCTCTATTGAAAATAAAAAAATTAGCTGGGCATGGTGGTGGGTACCTGTAATCCCAGCTACTAGGGAAGCTGAGGCAGGAGAATCACTTGAACCCAGGAGGCAGAGGTTGCGGTGATCTGAAATGGCGCCACTGCACTCCAGCCTGGGCAAGAGAGCGAGACTCCATCTCAAGAACAAAACAAAAAAATAAAATTAAAAAATACAAAGAGAATCATGTAATCATGGACTCTCTTGAGTTGCCTGTGTCCCCACGCAGCTCCCCTGTGCTGAGTGTCAAATCTTCTAGATCTCCCTGGCTTTAGTGTGGGTACTGACTTTTCTCTCCTGGGATAGCCCTGCGCGTGTAAGATACCTGTCTACCTTTTCTGCTGTTCATCTGCCTGTGGTCGACTGATGTCACAGGGTCCAGTATCAAAGGCTGAGAGGATGGAGGGGAAGTTCCTCTCCCCGTCAGGGCACTGGTGATCGGCATGGGCAGGATGTGTATGCGGGCCTGCAGGCACCTCATGGGGGTGCCCCAGCAAACTGCTACAAAACAACACACGGTTATTGTCTTGTAGTTCTAGAAGCTGACAGTTCACAATCAGGGTGTCACTAGCACTGTGCTCCCTCCAAAGGCTCTAGGGAGGACTCTTCCCTGCCTCTTCCAGCTTCTGGCGATGGCCGGCAATCCTTGGCACTCTCCGGCTGTAGTGGCAGCTCTCCAGTGGCTGCCTCCATCACCACGGGCATCTTCTCCTGCGTCCAGATCTCCCTTTCTTTATACAGAAATCAGTCACCGGATCTGGGCCCACCCGGCCTCCATATGACCTCATCTCAGCTTCATGATATCTGCAAAGACCCCATTCCCAAAAAGGTCACCTTCACAGGTAAGTCGGGGGTTAGGATTTGAACATACCTTTTTGGTTGACATAATTCAACCCACAGCACTGCCTTTTTATTTTTATTTTATTTATTTATTTTTTTTTGAGACGGAGTTGCGCTCTTGTTACCCAGGCTGGAGTGCAATGGTGCGATCTGGCTCACCGCAACCTCTGCCTCCTGGGTTCAGGCAATTCTCCTGCCTCAGCCTCCCGAGTAGCTGGGATCACAGGCACGTGCCACCGTGCCCAGCTAATTTTTTGTATTTTTAGTAGAGACGGGATTTCACCATGTTGACCAGGATGGTCTCGATCTCTTGACCTTGTGATCCACCCACCTCGGCCTCCCAAAGTGCTGGGATTACAGGCGTAAGCCACCGCGCCCGGCCAGGACTTTGTCTTCTTTTCGTTAAGCGACAAGTTCTCACTCTGTCCACAGGCTGAGTGCAGTGGCACAATCACAGCTCACTACAGCCTCAAACTCCTGGGCTCAAGGGATCCTCCCGTCTCGGCCTCCCAAAGGTGCCAGGACTGTAGGCACGAGCCACTGCCCCCAGCCCAGTATTTCTTAAGTTAGCCCAAAGATGGCACATCTTGAAATATGGACCCATTTTGACCTTGACCCCTTCCCTGCTTGGACGCAGGATAGGAACTGTGACTAAATGTCGTTAAAGGAATCAGATACAGTGTAGACAGGACTGGAGAATCTGAGAGCGAAGGGAAATATGAGATTCCCAGATGAAGATCCAGTTGTCTCTCATGGGAAAGTTAATTTTGAATTGTCACTGCCACGACTATTTGATATGAACTGCATGCTATTTTTTATTTTGAGATGGAGTCTTGCTCTGCCACCCAGGCTGGAGTGCAGTGGCACAACCTCAGCTCACTGCAACCTCGGCCTCCTGGGTTCAAGCGCTTTTCCTGCCTCAGCCTCTCAAGTAGCTGGGACTACAGGTGAGTACCACCATGCCCGGCTAATGTTTTGTATTTGTAGTAGAGACGGGGTTTCACCGTGTTAGCCAGGACGCTCTTGATCTCATGACCTCACAATCTGCCTGCCTCGGCCTCCCAAAGTGCTGGGATTACAGCGTGAGCCACTGCGCCCGGCCCGAAGTCTCTTAAGTTTTGCTGACTTACGGACAGACAAGAGCCATCAACACTTTAAGGATGTCTTTAAACGTTATCATGAAACATGCTTTTATAGCAAGATGTTAAAGCGTAGGGGTGGACCACATTTTCCTGGCCCTTGTCAGCCTGAGCTATTGTATGTATTTATTTATTTAAGGTGGAGTCTTGCTCTGTCACCGGGGCTGGAGTGCAGTGG